GGTACATTGAGTTTCAGGAGCGCATGTAGACTGATTGAATTTACAGCAGCCTGTGGCTCTGTGTGTGTGTGTGAGACTGTTCTAAATAACTGCATGATTGTTTGGAGAATTTTTGAAGTATCATTTCAAAATAAATATTTATCTTTAAATGTATAAAATTAAAGCTAAAAAAAAAAAAAAAAATCACATGCAATAGGTCATACAGAAGAAGAAGTGGCTAATAATGACTACTAATTTTTATTAGAGTTTCCGAACATAACCTTAATTTTGAACATATAAGGTGTCATTTTGATTTAGAAAATCAAAACATAAAACTCAAAAGCAATAAATTCCATGTTACTGTCACTATACAGATTTAGAAGTTAGCAATTTACTTTGAACAACTGAAGTGGACTGGAAATCTAAAATCACAATTTTAAAAATCCTAATTTTAAAGTGGATTCACAATATTTACTCTCAATACGTAACGTACCTGTACTAAATGACACCTTAAAAGCAATTACAAGACAGATGGAAAGTCAAATAAAATGCATGAGATGATTCAAGAGAATAAAGTTATGTTGAAATGAGAAAATATGCTTAGTGTTTAGCTTGAGAGTAATAATGAGGACATTTTTGACACTATAAGGGCTTTTTATATTCTGCATGTGTTGTTTACTATCGTCACTTGAAGATAATTCAGAAATGTAATGGATTCCATTTTCTTGTGATTTCAATGTTTAATCACAAATGGAGGCAGACGAAAAACTGATATATTGCAGGCTGTTTAAACTGAGTCTGAGATGGATCTCAGTCAGATGAAGCCATTTGTATGATGTTCTCATCCTCATTTTATGCCATAAATACTCACCACTCCTGTGCAATGTCTCTACCCATTCTCACTGACTTAAAACAGAAGGCTTTAATCCATCAAGACTTGTATAACGTCATTAAAATTGCCCATTGTTAAAGGAAAATTCTTGAAAGTGCCCATGCTTGAATTTCTAATAAAACACCATCAGTTATAGTAACGCCAGTGCCAAGGACAATTACTAGGATACCAAACGCAATTCAGATGTGAATACAAACAATAAGAAATGACTGAACTTGAACTTGGAAGTTATAGGGTAAGTTATATTTCTGCTGCCATGGCAACACAGACAAAGAAAAAATAACTAACGGTAAATAAAGGAACCAAGCTGCACTGGCTGAAGGAACAGTGAAAACCAAAGAATGTCTCACCTTGGCAATTTTGATGAAGTGGCCCAATATTTCTGCTCGGATTTTCAATGTTTGAGCCGTCAATATCTCCCTCACTGCCCAGAAACTGACCTAACAGAAGAAAATATAGTAAGTGAATTAAATGAGTTCCACAATGTATGGTTATCTCTGCAGAATAAGAGTTTAGATTTAAAGTTAGGATTTAAAAAATAAATTAAAACTACATGGATGCATATAATTTATGGCTATATGTTATGTAATTACTGTGATGACAAAAAAAAACAACTGTTCTCAGCAACGACTCAAAATGTGCAGCACACACTAGATCTCAAAATAAAGCTTTAATACACTCCTAAAAATGACAATAAACAGATTAATGAAAAAATACCGTAAATCATCGATTTATGAGAAAAACTGTATTTGAAAAACAGTTTTCAGACAGAGTGTTTTCTCTTATGTACAGGCTTTAAAAAGTGCCAGAACATCAGTCAAATGAAGCTAAGCAGCAAAACTGAATCGTTTCTTTTTTCACTCAGGAAATATGAGAAATTGGTTGTTAATGATGACATTAAAAAGACCGAAATGGCAAGTGTAATTGCAGACCTCAAATGACCACTTACATCAACATTCCAAGACATTTAAGCTCTGCCAAAATGAAATGCCATTTAAATAAAAATCATATTCATTCCTACTGCATACTGACCTTCGTAAGCATATATTTATAGGCGTATTTTCAGAAATGGGGATAAAGAAAGTGTTGTGCATTTACAGTAAAATTGTGTGAATTGATGAATTGGTCAGGTCATTATAATGTGTGTAAGGATGTGTGTGTGGTGTGCAGAAAGAGAATGCAGGGACTCAAGGAACATTGTTCTGACTAGGTGGTACTTGGATGTTGTTTTCATTTGTCAAAAGTGGTGCTTTGTCTGAAAGTTTACAATCTGCTGTTGTAAAACATCAGCTCTGTATGTGTAAGTACTATTTATTATGTACTTCACTGACCCTTTCAAATGCCTGTAATGCCACATATAAAAAATGTGGCAAAACTGAAGTAGACAAAGAAGAGTGGCTGGCATTAGAAAACTCAATTTTTGTTGGATGTGTCCAGTGCAGTGTATTTATTCATCTAAAGGAGTTAATGTAGCTGTTGGATAAAATAGCTAAATGGAGCAGCATGATGGATTTTTGTCTTTTATCTGAGGCACCTGTTTGTGCTACAAAAACTGTAATATCTAGTAAAAATACAAATTTCATGTGATCTGAAGCAACATGCATCCTCCATTTGAGCTTGTATAAGTGGACACCTAACGGACTTCTGTTTCACACTAATAGACTCATGTGTTAAACACAGAGCCTAAATGGCAGGCTCTAAAATAGTCTACATAAAATATACTTTATCAGCTATATAGTGAGGTTTCTAGCTGACCATGTGTCAAATTAGCATTAGTGCAGTTGCGACTAAAACACAGTGTCAATGTTCCTCTTTCAGTATAATAACATCCATTGACCTCTATTATGAGTTATTTCTGGTGGTGCTAATGGACCTAGGTCTCGAACCCTGAAAAAAATTACAATGTTATGAAACTGTCTCTTAAACTGTTATAGTATGGAAACAAAACTGAGATCTTACTGATATTACCAATGCATCAGGAAACTACAAGTAAAATAACCAGTATTAATAATCTAAAAAAAAAAAAAAAACATATCTTAAAATAAACATTTCTTTATACCACAATTACACATGTAGCAAGACAGTCTTTAGCTCATGGAACCAGCTGTCAATTTAAGACAAGTTTTAAGTTTAGCAAACAATAAACACTGGAGCAGCATAAAGCTTTTAATAAATGATCTTACCTGTTGGCTACACTGACTAGCACAATATTGTTTACCTGGTTAAATCTCCGTGTGAAGGCCACAACGTTGGGTGAAAGGCTATGCTTCTCCTTCTTGTTCCATCCACAGCTCGCCAGCTCCTAAACAACCAAATAGTCAATTCAACTTTTCAACAGTTTTTTTTTTTTAAGTGTAATACTTAAGTCTAATGCTTGCATTTTATCTACACTACCATTCAAAAGTTTGCTTTTTTATGTTTTTGAAAAAAGTTTCACAAAGATTGCATTTATTTGACCAAAAATACAGTAAAACAGTAATAATGTGATGTAGTATTATATTTAAAATGACAAATATATTTGAATATACAGTAGTCAACATTTGAAGTGGATCAGAAAAAGTTCATCAAAGTTGTCCTAAGACAAGAACACATTTAGGTTTTAGGACAACTTTGATCCACTTCAAATGTTGACTACTGTATTTTAAAATGTAATTTATTCCTGTGAATTTTCAGCATCATTACTCCAGTCTTCAGCGTCACATGATCCTTCAGAAATCATTCTAAGCTGATTTGCTGTGTAGGAAACATGTCTTATTATTATCAACATTGAAAACAGTAGTGCTGCTTAATATTTTTGTATATAATGAATATAAAATAAAAAACAGCATTAATATTTTACTGTCACTTTTGCTCAATCTAATGCATTTGCTAATAGTACTAATTTCTTTAACTTTTGAATAGTAGTGTACTCTGATAATAATGAAATCACATTGAACGGCTCTTTATTACACATGCCTTACACCATTCCTTCATTCATGAAGTCAAGAAAACTGAGCATAAAAATGAGCATAAAAAGTAAAATAAAATACCCACAACACTTGAAGCGCCACACTATTTTCCACTTTAGCATTTACTGAGAATCACTACATATTTTACTATACTGTATTTGTTATTGACCTATAGTAGTATAAATATACCATCCTTGTATTGACTTAATTTAGAAATAATTTCTAAATGAACTGTAGGAATATAGGGAGAAAAGTATGCACAGAACAAACAACACATCTGTTGCTTTCATCTCATCGACAGAACAGCTTTGCATGGGGACTTTATATGGTTCTAAGCCTCCTCAGGTTCACAGAGCTATGAATACTAACACTTTTATAGTATCGTGCAGACTAAAAGCAGATGGAAACATTCGAAGGCATTTCAGTTTCCACATGGACTGAGTGGAGTGGAGTTTCCATGTGAATAAGCAGCTCAGTCTGGGTACAGTACCTTACCAAAATATTTTAGGTTTGTTTGCTAAGTCATCACTTTAAGCCACACAGTTCGTCAGGGACACAGCATAGCTATAATGTAAGAGTACTTGTTTGGTTATACACTACCATTCAAACGTTTGGGGTCAGTAAGGTTTTATTTTTTAAAAGAAAATAATACTTTTATTCAGCAAGGATGTATTAAATGCATTACATTTCTTGTATTTTGATTAAATGCAGCCTTGATGAGCATAAGATACTTCTTTCAAGAATATTTAAAAAATCTTACAGACTCCAAACTTTTGAATAATAGTGTATATTAGCAGTAAATTCCAGTTTAAGGGGGTATACATTTTTATTACTATTTTTTTGCACCCAAAAGAGTCATATTTCAGTTTTTCATTACAATTTTCCACCTTTCTTTCTGACCCTAAGATTGTGTGTATGTGTGTGTGTGTGTGTGTGTGTGCGCGCTCCAGTTTCCCCTGCAGGCAGATGTTTTAACACCACCATTCATGCAATATACTTTTTAACTGATCCTTCCTTTACTAACCTCATTGAAATGTGACCGAAATGATCAGGGACCTTCTTAAAATCAAACTTCATAATTTAGAAGGATATCCGGAGCCAAGGGCAGCACAAGGTTTAAGCAATATACTTCATTTTACTTTTATATAACTATTATTTTTGGTTTTGACTTCCGAAAGTTACAATATGTTTTATAGTCGTCTTTATTTCAAAAGATCAAATACAATTTGATTCCATATGACAAAAGCATACAAACTTTCACACTTTATCTTTCATTCTGACTCTAAATAATTTCTGCAGAAGGTCTGTAGCCAAAACCAACTGTACAACACACCACTTTATGCAAAGAGACACTGTCTGCTCACATTACTCACACAGCACTAACAATTTAGCAGCTGTTATAGAACCAACGTACATCTGAAATCTATTAATCCAGTTGCCCGTGTCAACTTCACGAACATCTCCTTTTAGAATCCGCAATAATCCCTGAAGCATGCAGCTGAAATATTGATGAATGAATGTATGTGCTTGTGGTCAAACGCAAAAATGTACTTATACTAGTGTTTCCACAGGCCAGTGAAACTTACAGGCAAAGGGCTCAACAATAACAAGCCCACGTTCGTTGTCAAATATGTCAGGGTTGGAAAGAGTGTAATGAACGAATCCTGAATTAGTGGTGGAGGAGGTCAAACTCAGCATTTTTAAAATGAGCTCTTTTCCAGTGGGAACTTCTGCTGTAAGCAAATAAATTCAATGTGTTTCACGCTCTAGTCTTCTTCAGCGAAGGAATACCATGGAAGATGTTTTGCTACTTTTTATCAAATCAATCAGCTGAACAATTTATGTGCGCAGAGCTGCTGAGATGCAAACATGTCTAAAGGAATAAGGATGGACGATTTATCTTGACATAAAACAAGTTCATGCTCCACAAATCATTTTTACAATAAATCCATTGCCAACACCTTGAGTACAAGCAGATAAACATGACAGCACTGTCAGTTGTAGAGAAAACCAATTTTCACCTGTGACTAAAGAGACTCCAGGGGAGGAAGAGGCAAAATACTTCTCTGCTGTTTCCTTCACCCAATCCAGACCTTTATTAATGTTTTAGAATATCAAACACCTACACAAGGGCCTAACTGCATTGCTTTTTTTGCAGTTTGAAGGGTATATCCTTTTATTTAGATGTTTCGGGAGAAGAGCAATAATAGTATTAAATACTCAATCCTGTTAATGCATAATTTTCCCTAATTATAAATATATATATTTTTTTTTTTTTATTTATTTTATTTTTTTTTTTTTAATTG